ATTGTATGTATGTGTGTCCAATGCTTTCACATGTCCACCATGCATGACAAAATGTCCCTTCATGCTTTTCACACTTCCAACAAGTTTATACATTTTAGCAATCACATGTTCATCATTTGTACATAATTCATTTTCAAATTCCATTTTATGATATTCTATAACTGGTGTTTTAAAAAATCTATATTAAATCTTTGTCTTAATTGTACATATGAGAACCATTGAAAACTCAATCCTTCTGCAGTCAGTTGTTTTAATCTTAAATTCTCCATTTTCCTGTGCTAACAAATTTGGATTTGTTAGCCATTTCTCTTTGCCCACTGTCTTTTTTCTATAAAACACTTCTTGTGCTGATGCCAATAGAAGTATTTTTGGACACAGCCTGGATCTGTATTTATTCCAGATTCTTAATATGGCACTTCTAACATGATTTTTGAAATCTACATTACTTTATTGTACCATAAAAAAAACCCATGCCAGCCACACCTCAGGTTGTGCTGTTCTAGTTCCAACATTCTCTAATATCTCAGCAATGGCCATTCTTTCATCCATTCACTGAGTTTTTTATGGTTAATTTCTCATCAATGATATATTGAGCACTAATTGTACAATCTTGGTAGTTCCTTTGTCCACTTATGGATATTATATTTCTGTATCTATTTTTTCCCCTGTCTCCTTTTGCTTGCTTGTTCACTTTTTTTTTAAAGATTAATAATTAAAAAAAAAAAAGTCCTGCCCAAGGGAGGGAAAATGATTGGTCCTAGCTTTCCCACCATAGGAGAGAGGGCAAGGAAACAGGGGAATCCACCAATCAGAACTTGGTAAGTAAGGTTCACACAGAATACAGACTATCACTGAGAGAAGGTGAGAGAAGGGGTTGAAATCTAGAAAATATTTTTAAGGCGTTTTTCATTTCTAGTCACTTTACATACATGAAACAAACAGCTGAAAGCTGCCACATGGAAAGGCTCCAAAAAATGATCACCAGGGGAAAAAAATATCCACAAGAGATTCTGCCACTTTTTTTTTACCAACCTTCATCCCCAGCCAGCAAGTTCTTGGGAATAGAGGCTCCGTGACTCCAGAGGGTACCACACTGGAGAAGGCTGTTATGCATGACTGCTTTTCAGAGAATAACTTAATCTTAAAGCTGCAGGGTTTCAGGTCGCAGCACTACCTCTATTTTATCAACTGATTACAACAGCAAATCAAATCAAGTCAGTCCAATCCAAATGATATCTTTATTATGGCCATAAGGCCAACTATCAGATAGAAATAGTGGGGCAAAAAAGTATTTAGTCAGCCACCAATTGTGCAAGTTGTCCCACTTAAAAAGAT